GGCCACCCATGGGCCAGAGGGAGCCAGGCTCCTTGGTGCCAGCTGCAGCAACTGGTGGCCTTCCGTGATGCTGCTTGTGCCAGGTGCTGCCAAGAATAAGGCGGGTGAGGGCCACATTCCTGACTCTCAACGGATGTCACACGTCCACCTGAGCCACTGGAACCTCAACTTGCCCCCCAGGCCACCCCTCCAGCTTGTCCTGTATGTGCCTGGCAGCACAGACCGGGCACCCCAGCAAGCATGGCAGAGGTGGTGGTACCCCAAAGGAAGCATGGCAGAGGTGGTGGCACCCCAAAGGAAGCATGGCAGAGGTGGTGGCACCCCAAACCTCAGGTGGCAAGAGAAGAGTGGTGGCTTTTTTCTGTTCCATGCTGGTGCCACCTTGTGTTGACGGTGTCTCAGGGGACCCTGGGGAAGATCCCCGCTGTGGTGTGGAGCCACGGGAGTGCAGGTGAAAGCAGCACCTTTCACCCTACAGATCAACCCACGGCCCTGGCCACAGCTGTATCACCCCATGTCATTGTCCCCTCCTTGACAGCGCTGGTTGGCTCTGGAGGGGTGCCACCGTAAGGGACAGCACCGGGGGCTGTGTGGGGGACACCTGGCAGCTCTAGGAGGTGGCTGTGCCCCTTGCTGGCCCCTCCCGAGCTGGGTGGCAAGGAGGAGGAGGTTATGGTGAGGGGTCCGTGCTGCTCCTCACAGGATGAAGGCAGCATGAGTTGGACAGCACAGACATGACGATGTTGGTGTCTTCTTTTTTTTTTTAAACACATCAGCTGGTGCAAACTGGTGCAAACAGGGCAGTCCCCCGCCTCCTCAGCCGCTGCCTGTGCTGCAGGGTGGGTGCGTGTCACTATCACCCACCCCAGAGCAGGCAGAGCCCTGCGCGAGCCCCTGGCTGTGCAGGCAGGTGGCAGCAGGGGTGTCCCTTGTCCGGCACCTCACACGCCAACCCTGAGGCGACCGTCTTGAGCCCTGAGGACAGTGGCCCAGCTCCGCAGTGCTGCATACCGGCAGCCAGTGCTTTTGGGAGTGCCCTTGAGCATCACTGGCTGTGTGTGTGCAATGATCCCATGGCACGTTTGCGACCCCGCAGCCCACGGGACACGTTCCTGGTGGCCTCAGGGACCTCCCGAGCTGCAGGGATGAGACCACAGCCCCGTGCTGGTGGGGGTCCGGCCAATAACGGGGTGCGCCGGCAGCGCCGCTCACCTGTAGTTGGTGCTCTTGATGGGGGCCCACGTGTAGGTCCTGAACACCTCATCGATGTATTGCTGTGGGTCAGAGGGAGCCAGTCAGGCCTCCGCAGCATGGGGACCCTGCCACCGCGGTGGCATGGGACACCCCAGCTCCGAGCCCAGTGCCTGACATGGGCCCTCACTCTCCGCTACCAGGGCCGGGTGCTCAGCACAGTGGTAGTTTTGGCTGTGACCGCCTTACCTCGTCCAGGGACTTGATGAGGGTCTTGATGAACCTCTGCCCGTCGTTCCCATCAATCATGCTTCTCCGGATCTGGGGGACACGGAGGAGGCGACTGAGGGCCACAGAGCCCGGCTACCTGCCCGCGGGCACCCAGCCCAGTGGGGTGGCACTGGGGACCCGCAGGGTGCAGGGGTGGCGGGTGTCTCATCATGCTGGCACCCAAGGGACAGTGACCCAGCTCCCGTCCCCGCGGTGGCCCCACGGGAGCTGTGCCGGGGCCCTGTGGACAAGGTGCTCCCCAGTGCAGGCTGGAGGGGCTGAGTGCCCTTTGCAACTGCGGACGGGGGGGTCCAGCCTGTACCCCAAGAGCTGCACCCGGATCTGCCCACCTCCTCCTTGTTCTCGTCCTCCAGCTCAGCATCCAGGAAGTCCAGCGTCACCGGCTCCCCCCAACTGAGGATCGCTGGGCAGGCAGGGAAAG